TGTCAACTGAGCCACACTCCAAGCCACAAAAGATGTTTTAAAAAATTTTTTTTCTAAAGATGCTTTGAGTCACTATCTCCCAGAGACAGAGGGGAGGGGACCCAACCAGCATGTCACAGAAGAAAACCAAATCCACTAAGCTCTCAATCTCCCTAGCAGGAGGGCTGAGGTGGGGACTGTCTTCCTCTAGTCTCTTCTTCTTGTCCCACATTTATGTGAGAAGGTGACTACATTTCTCAGTCTTAGGAATCCCTGTGTGAGCCTTTTTCTTCTGGTCTCCATCCCATACAGCTAAGAACTCTACAAAGGAGCAATAGCCCTTCTAGAAAGATCTCCAGAGAACAGGGAGGCCTTGTGGCCTGTCTCCAGTCTGTGGAAGTGTCCCCACATGGAATCCACATTCCAGAAGCCCCTGTCTCACTATGCTTGGGACCCTGCTACCTCTCTGGGTGCCTTAGTTTCCCAGCTGATCCCCTAGGAACCTAGTGTCCCCCAGGAGACATAGAACCCAAGGATTGACAGAGAGGACACCGCTCACTATCCCACCCTTTCTGCTTCCCCATGCTGTGACTGATCCATGCATAGTTCTGGTCCTAAAACACTAGAGCAATTTCCCATCACAAGGTATACCCCAGCTCCCACGAACTGGTCCCCATTCCTTGCCCCTTGCCCCATGGTGTAGGCTGGCTTGGGAGTCATCTAAAATTAACCACAAGCTCCCCTTTACAATACCGGCATGGTGTCAAGTTCCCAGTGCTGTACTGGCCCCTTTGTCTCCCTTGTCCTCCCCACCATGAGACACTCAGTGATAAACACTCGACAGGGACCTGTCCCAGGCACCCCTCCTGTGGGGCCAAGGGAGGGAAGGGTGAGGCCACAGAACTTCATGTGGCTCAGGGCTATGATAGGCATGGGGAAACCAAAGCCACCTGTCTCATTGGTGACACAAAGTGTACTGTGTCCTTTCCCCAGGCCCCACATCCATCTCTTGCATGGAGGGGCACCAGGGCATGCTTGACTCTCCCTCACCTCTGCTTCTGTGGCTACTGATTAAGGTCTTGGGCATTGTGCCAGATAAGGGGACACCCCAGGAAACAATGCAAGTTTCTGCTCTAGGCCTGGACCCCTGAACACTGACCCTCCACTTTGTGCCTCCTCAGAGAACACATACAATCTTCACTGGGGACCATCTTAACTGCTTCCCTAAGTCCTTCACAGGGCGGGGGTCATGTGTACTACTTTTAAAAGCACTCCGTGTGGTGATAGCTAAGGTGATCTGCATTACTTCAGCATTGCCTCGATAGCTTATGGAATTAAACGGCCACCAGGTGCTGCTGTTTTCCATATCCACAGATAGGGAAGAGGCCCCAGAAGTTTTACTGAACTCTCTTAGAGTCCCTTGAAGAGAAAGTCATGAGGATTGAAACTCTACCCTCCTGGTCTGGAAGAGTGTGGAGGGAGAAGGATTAGCAGATGAGCAGGGAAGGACATTGCCCAGCAGTGAACACAAAAGGGAACCGAGTGCAGAGGGGCAGAAGGTGGGTCTCTAAAGTCAGGCCTCTGTGTAGACAACCCAGTACTGCTGGCCACAGGAGCTGAGCCCACATCCTTTGGTGCAGAAAGCAGGGCTGCAGGCAGAGTCACACTGCTGGAAGCCTCAGACCTCATCTATCACTCAGAGAGCTTATTGTCCAAATTTAGCTGGATAAGGTGGTGACGGCTCTATATAGGCCTGGAGCAGTTTCCCACACCAACACTTTGATCTCAACAGCATGTGCATGGCAGGGGGTATCAGAACAGCCAGTGTGGAGCCCCCATGTGGAGCAGGCACAACCCAGACCTTGTGGCTTCTGAATTAGAGGCTGGGGCCAGGGGCTAACCACATCTTTAAATCATAAGGTCAAACCCAGTCCAGATACCAAACCCGAGACAGCAGGGAGAAAGGAATTATGGGAGCCCAGCTATGCTCATGTTGGTCTATCAGGGGATGCCCCTGGGTCTGACATTGTACCTGTCTGAGTGGTAGTTAGTAGTGGCCTCTGCACATCTGCAGAGTGGTCTAGTTGCTTTAAGGAACACATGCATGGGGGCGGCCCGGAACACCAGCCATGGATCCAAACATTCACAGATCACCTTGTTGAGAGAATGTGATTGCTTCTACCATAATGGCAAGAACAACAAACGTCATGCCTGATGGGCGCCATCCCTGCTGGGTATCCAGACACTGGGTGTTTGGTTTGTGTCATTCAGTGTTCACAACCAACTGTATCCCTGGCAAAGTGGGACTGATTCACATTATCCTCACCATAAGCCTAGAAGGTCACTGCTATCATTAGCTCCATGGAGATAAGGAAACAGGCACAGAGAGGTTGAGTAACATGCCTAGAGTCACACAGCTGGAGAGTGGCAGAGCTGGGATTTGAACCCAGGTCCTCCACACCTGGAGATCTATAGCAGTTTGCCCCTTTGCCCCTCCCCTTATTTCCATCTCTCCAGATACCCTGAAGGAACTTTCTAGAAACCAATACCCTAGGATTGGTTAATCCAATGGTGGCATTCCCTCCTCAGAGCTCTTTCTTCTTAGAAACCTTAGGTCTGGAGAAGCAAACCAAAGCCTAGAGAAGCCAAAACCCCAGAAGCACGTGGCTGGCTGATCAACAGACAGAGGAAAAAACAAAAAACCAGTCTCACATCTACACCTAGTGCCTAACTTCTCACCGTGTCCTGTGTCTGGACTTTTGCAAGAAGCAGCATTCTGTGTCACAATACACATGTTCCTGCTTCTTTCCTTCATAGTCAAGTCCAAACATCTCCTCCATCAGGAAGCTTTCCAGATCCTCCCTGTCCACCTGCCTCACTGCTCCTTGGGAGCATCAGCTATCCCCATACTCACTCCCAGCTATGTGCCGAGTGAATGCTCAGCTGTTGCTAGGGCTCTCTGTGGGCTGGAGAACTCAGTGGACACACCTCAGGGTGCTAGTGGACAGCTCTTCAACCTTCTTTGGTGGCAGGTACCAGGCTGGGTGCTGCGTGCACATAGAAAGAAGACCGAGTTCTTATCCTCAGGTCACACTTGCCCCCCTGCCCTAGTCTAGATGTACAGAGACGGTGAGCATTTGGAAATGGTTGTGTTTAGTGCTAAGGTCTGGTCACATACGGCCCAACACTCTGGAGTCTAGAGAGCTTGGCTGGCAGAAATGGGCTTAATAATCTGGGGCACACATGTTAAAGATCCCAACACAGCAAACTCTTATCTGTTTGCTCTTTGCCTGGGGAGATGGTGACGGCTCCCCTAGAACCAGAACCCAGTGACAATTAAAGCAACATTCTGGTCTCCTACTTAAAGGCAAAGGACACTCAGGCATTTGTGTCTCCTGGCAGGCCAGTTAGAAGCCGTATGGCAGGTGAACATGGTCCCTTATGCCAGAAATTGACTGGGGGTGAGATGCAGGATCCCCAAGCAGAGTCCCCACCCTTCTTAGGACCCCATGTGGCTGTTTTCAAGCCTGGAGTTAGAATAGATGCTTCCTCTATGCCTTCTCTCCCCATCAAGTCATGCTTCCAGACTTCTAGCGCAGCCAGTGGGCAAGGTATCCACGAGGGCAGGCAGAATAAAAAGTGGCAGACCCAAGAGGAAAGAGCACAGACACCTAGTAGACACCCAGAAATGGCAGGGTACTAATATGCGGCCATCAACCTACCTGGCTGGGCCCCAAGGTACCCATGAGCCCCACAAAGCAGCCTCAGCACCAGTGGCCCAGGGATGGTGTGTAATAGCGCCCAGTTATGAACACAAGGATTTGGAGACAGTTTTCTCCAAACCTAGATGCCACCCATATCCCAGACTGCAATCTGCTTGAGCGAGTAACTGCTATCCACTTAGAAAAAGCACACTTGCTGCTTACTGAGTGCAGGTCCAACTATACATAAAGCTCTTGCACAGGAAACACTAGCTTCATATTCTAAAGGAAGAGGCCAGGGCTCACGGCAGCCATTGCTGTAGGTCACAGGCATGGAGGAGTCAGGGTAGAGCTACCTGCCTGTGCCTCTGGCTTTGTGTAGGGAAAGCTTCCCACATGGCCACAGTGGGTAACTAGTAAAAATGGAGCCTTAGCAGGGCTGGGTTCTCTACTCTGCCTCTTAGAAATGCTCCATCTCTGGTTGCCACTGGAAAGACATCACCATCACCGTCACCGTCACCGTCACCGTCATCGTCACCATCACCATCATCATCACCATCACCACCACCATCAGCAGCAGCAGCTGAGTGCTTCTCATTGGAAGCCCTCCAGGCCTGTTCACTTTGTGGAGTTGTAAAACAGCCCTGCTCCCACTCTCCAGGAAAGAGCCCACTAGGACATCCACCATCTTGTCTGCATAGCCTATAGCTGGCTCCTCAGCCCATTCCCCTGTCCCTGTGCTCTTTATCCAGAGCCTGGATTTGTGACACACAACTGCCCCTGCAACCTGGAGGTGGGGCATACTGTGATAACTACAACTGGCTGCCTGTCTGCAGTGCTGTGGGTCTGTGCCCAAGCCAGCCATGAGGAGGGCACACAGAGGCATGTGCATGGTGGAGAGATGTAGGCTGGAGGTTGGATTCTGAGCTACCACCAAGGTGTGGAGCCCATGCTGTGTCTGGACACATGTGAGCGGGACGTGACCCCTTGTTGAGTCCCCTCCACTCACTCAACTGCCCCACCTCAAAGCCAGACGCCTCTTGGTTCTCAGAGATGGCAGTGAACACCCCTTCAGGCTGATTTGTCACTTTCCTTCCAGAGCGCAGTCCTCGCCCAACTGTGTTACTGTCATATTCTTCACAAGTGGAACGAGTCAGACATGTGATGAAAGTCAACCTCCTTGCTAGAACATAGCTAGAACCTGAAGACATTAGTGTTTCAGTCTCCCTTGGAGACGTCCCCACTGTTAGACATCATAGACACAGACCTTGGAGCCAACTCCACCCTGGAGCAGCCCGAGTGTAAGCCTCCCACACCTACCTTCAACAGGTGAGGTTTTGAGGCGCCGGCAGATGGCTTCAGTGTCCCCATATGTCTCCTTGATCTTGACCACAGCCTCGGTGCCCCGCAGTTCCATGAGGGAGCGCAGCTCCTCCATGGTGCACCCGAACTCGCCCCCATGGCTCGACTCATTTCTTTGGTTTTTGGAGTAAAAGTCGCTGTTGGTCATATCACCCATGTTTGCTGAAGTTTCTGCTCAGGCTGGGCCTGAGGGTCAGCAGTGGAAAAGGGGCCTCTGGGTGATGGCTGTGTGTGGCTGTCCTCAGTATACCCTCACCAGAGGGTAGTTGCTTGAGGCAGCCAACTTCGAGTCCCAGGAGGAGGTGATGGCTGAGGTGGGCTGGCGACAGCACTGGAGAGCTCTGAGGAGTGTCCCCAGGAGTGGTGTGAGGTCCAGGGGCCGAAGAGGCTCAGGAATGCTGACCCAGGAGTCTCCATTCAGTGGGGCCCATGCTGATCCCTGGGGCTGGTATCTACATGGTCGAGACAGCTCCTGTGAATATAATCACAGAATGAGTGATGAAGGCGAGACATTCAGAGACCTAGGAAAGTCAAGGAATAGGTGTTGATCTGACACACACACACACACACACACACACACACACACACCTGGCTCTCACTCTCTCAACATACCACCATACTTCTAGTCCATTGGCTACCATACTATTTAAGTCCTAGGGTATGTCCACATGACACACGGAATTCCCACACATACTGTGGGGTGCAAATGCCCACTTGTCAAACACAACCCAGCTATGCAACCCACTAACTGCCTCTTTGTGCCTATTCCATGGTCACAGATATATCAGCATAAGGATGCATTTCATGACACCCTGATGGAGACACCTTTCATGCATGCTGTCACACACTGTCTCATTTCTAGGCATGTAACTGAATGTCCCCTCATAGACACACAGCAGACCCTGTTTCCCATTCTCTGACTGGCCCTATGTACTTACACATGCTGCTTGTAAACACAGTCTGGGACACAATTCCTCTCCCCATAGGTCCCCTGACACCTCCCCTACAACACTCCTTCTCACAGGCCCCATCTGTGCCCATAGCCCCCACCACAGTCCTCCAAGAACTCAGACTTGTGTCAGAGGAGCCACCACATGTGTTCATGAGGCTGTCCTTGAGTCCAGAGCTTTGGTTTCCTGCAAGAGCTGGGATCCATGGAGCCCTCACCTGGAGCCCCCACCGGTCAGCACCAAGGACAGCGGCCAGCAGCCCACAGGTCCCTCTGGAAGCAAGGAGGAGGGCGTCACTTCTCACTGTTGTACAGGCCACCCGTGCAGGAGTGCAGTGACTGTGGGCTGCCAGGAAGAGAATCCAATCTGCCAGGATACCTAACACCAGCAGCCGAGGCCCCGGCAAGCGTTGGGTGACAAAGGGCCCCAGCTGAGCTCAGTTGAGCCTGGCACAGGGATCTGCCCCTCCCATCAGCCATAGCCAGCTAGTCATCCTGAGTGGGCAGTGAGGAGCAGGGATAAAAGGAAGAAGAAAGGCGCCAGTATCAGTCCACCCTCCACTTGTCCAACCTTTCTCTTCACAGGCCTCTTCCCCACATTTTAGGGTTGCTGGTGTCAGGTTTGTGTGTTTCATTTTCTTAGGGAGGAACTCCAGAGAAGGAAGGGAGTTTGTCAAGGGTCACAGAGAACAAGACGGTGGAGAAGCCCAGTGGGGGATGATGTCCTCTCTCCTTCTTTGGGGGAAGTTCTCTCAGATGTGCTGGGCGGGATGGACTGTGCAGGCAAACACTGGCAGAGTTAACGGGGCGTATGTCTTGCATCCTGGCCGAGGCGTCCTATGCCATCCTTTAGGAGACACTTCGGCTTACAGGGATTGGAAGTGCACTATGGTGTATACACATTGGGACCAATAGTTATCCCTGGGAGCAGAGTATGGTGTAGACATGATGCCCAAAGAGAAGATCTAGGCGCCAGAAACAATGTGTACCTGGTGTGTCCCCCAGTGCAGAGGTGGCCCTGTAGAGGCACCATCTTGAGCTCATGAGGTCTCATTCACTTTAGGACCAGGTGAGGTGGAGGCCAACTCTGCCCATGAATACAAACAATAAGAAGTCCTCTTCCTCATATATATATATTTTTGGAGACAAAATAGCCTCAGACTTGCTAAGTTGCCAAAGGTGACCTTGACCTTGAGCTCTGGATTCTCTTGCTTTTACCTTCCAAGTGCTGGAGTTACATGTTGGCACCACCATACAAGGCCTTTCTCCCCATTTCTTAAACAGGCATCATACATCAGATGACATGCTAAGAGATCTCTGTATATATAGTATTACATATGACTGCTATGGACGCAAGTAAGCAGCACAGTGTTTACCTCACATGCTGGGATCCATCCTCAGTAACATAGACATGTGTGCATGCGTGCACACACACGCACACACACGCATGCATGCGCGCACACACACACAGTGCAGGCATGCACACACTTCATACAGTATCATCTGCTAGGAGCTAAGTTTCAAGGATGCAGGTAGTGTGTTTCCTGTGTTACTCCAGCTAAAATGGTACCTCACTATTCATCCGGTAAATAACTATGGATAAGTGAATGGAATAAAAATTAGGCAATGTCTCATTGAGGTATACATATATTAAGACACTATCTCTTGCAGGCTGTCCTCCAGTGACCTTGAATTTCTGGTCCTCGAGCCTTCACTTCCCAGATGCTGGCAGAACGGACATGCCCCACCATGCCCAGCTTCCCATTAGGTCTTTATAACCCCATCAGGTGGATATTATAATTAAGCCCATTTTACTGACAAAAAGAATGAGCCCCATGGGACTAAAGAAATTGATTCAAGTTCACACAGCAGGGGGGATGCTAGAGAAATTTCAAACTTTAGATGGTGGCTCACCACCCTATAAGAAGGGCCTGGCTGGAGCCTGTTCTAGGAAGTAGAGTCTCTTTAGGAAGTGCTGGCTCCTGACACTCAGGCTTACTATTTTTTGTCCATGGCTACAAAGGCCTGCAGGTCCTCAGCAGGATCCTGTCCCCAGTACGTGAGACCTGTAAGAGGTGTGGGGACTGGTCCTCTGGGCTGGAGCAGACACAGAGTCGGTCTGCTCCCGTCCTGTTGAGAAACTGAATCCTGAGTCATCCAGGAGCCACTGCACTCAGAGCAGCTGGTAAGAACTCCATCTCACTCCCTAAACCCCAGAGATAGATCAGGGAGCCAGGGACATCCAGGGCACAGCAGCTACCCAAACCCCGCCCCTCCGGAATTCCACTTCCCTTCTGCCCCTGCCTGGTCCTCGGGGCTGGAGCAGACACAGAGTCGGTCTGCTCCCGTCCTGTTGAGAAACTGAATCCTGAGTCATCCAGGAGCCACTGCACTCAGAGCAGCTGGTAAGAACTCCATCTCACTCCCTAAACCCCAGAGATAGATCGGGGAGCCAGGGACATCCAGGGCACAGCAGCTACCCAAACCCCGCCCCTCCGGAATTCCACTTCCCCTCTGCCCCTGCCTGGTCCTCTGGGCTGGAGCAGACACAGAGTCGGTCTGCTCCCGTCCTGTTGAGAAACTGAATCCTGAGTCATCCAGGAGCCGCTGCACTCAGAGCAGCTGGTAAGAACTCCATCTCACTCCCTAAACCCCAGAGATAGATCGGGGAACCAGGGACATCCAGGGCACAGCAGCTACCCAAACCCCGCCCCTCCGGAATTCCACTTCCCTTCTGCCCCTGCCTGGTCCTCTGGGCTGGAGCAGACACAGAGTTGGTCTGCTCCTGTCCTGTTGAGAAACTGAATCCTGAGTCATCCAGGAGCCACTGCACTCAGAGCAGCTGGAGCCACTGCACTCAGAGCAGCTGAAACTGAATCCTGAGTCATCGAGGACCCACTGCACTCAGAGCAGAAGGATTTCCAGATCCAAGAGGTGGCCTGAGTCCCAGGAGTTATTCCACCCAGGAGATTAGGAGCATAAGACCACAGAGACCTCTGGACTCTGAGGAGCTCTGCAATAAGCAAGATAACTGGAAATACAGACTCCAGTTTTACACAGTGAGGGCAGGTACCACTAGAGTTAACCAGATGGCGAAAGGCAAGCGCAAGAACATAAGCAACGGAAACCAAAGTTTCTTGGCATCATCAGTGCCCAATTCTCCCAATATAGCAAGCCCTGAACACCCCATCACACCTGAAAAGCAGGATTCAGAATTAAAATCACTTCTCATGATGATGATAGAGGATTATAAGAAGGAATTAAGTAACTCCCTTAAAGAAATACAGGAGAGTACAAGTAAACAGATAGAATCCCTTAAAGAGGAATCACAGAAATCCCTTAAAGAAATGGAAGAAAACACAAAGAAGGAATTAAACAAAAACATTCAGGATCTGAAACTTGAAATAGAAACAATAAAGAAAGTTCAAAGGGAGACAACCATGGAGATAGAAAACCTAAGAAAGAGATCAGGAGTCACAGACGCAAGCATCACCAACCGAATACAAGAGATAGAAGAGAGAATCTCAAATGCAGAAGATACGGTGGAAAATATTGACACAGTTGTCAAAGAAAATGCAAAATGCAAAAAACTCCTAACTCAAAACATCCAGGAAATCCAGGACACAATGAGAAGACCAAACCTAAGGATAATAGGTATAGATGAGAATGAAGATTCCCAACTTAAAGGGCCAGTAAATATCTTCAACAAAATTATTGAGGAAAACTTCCCTAACCTAAAGAACAAGATGCCCATAAACATACAAGAAGCCTACAGAACACCAAATAGACTAGATCAGAAAAGAAATACCTCCCGTCACATAATAATCAAAACATCAGATGCACAAAACAAAGAAAAAATACTAAAAGCAGTAAGGGAAAAAGGTCAAGTAACATATAAAGGCAGACCTATAAGAATTACACCAGACTTCTCACCAGAGACTATAAAAGCCAGAAGAGCCTGGACTGACATCATACAGACACTAAGAGAACACAATTGCCAGCCCAGATTACTATACCCAGCAAAACTCTCAATCACTATAGATGGTGAAGCCAAGATATTCCATGACAAAACAAAATTTGCACAATGTCTTCCCACAAACCCAGCACTTCAAAGGATAATTGATGGAAAATGTCAACACAAGGAGGGAAATTACAACCTAGGAAAAGCAAGTAAGTAATCTTCCAACAACCCCCAAAAAAGATACAAACATAACTTTACCTCTAATAAAAAAAATAACAGGAAGCAACAATCATTTTTCCTTAATATCTCTTAACATCAATGGTCTCAATTCCCCAATAAAAAGACGCAGACTATCAGACTGGATACACAAACAAGACCCAGAATTTTGCTGCATACAAGAAACGCACCTCAGTGACAAAGACAGACACTACCTCAGAATAAAAGGGTGGAAAACAATTTTTCAAGCCAATGGTCCCAAGAAACAAGCTGGAGTAGCCATTCTAATATCAAATAAAATCGACTTTCATCCAAAATTAATCAAAAAAGATAAGGAAGGACACTT